ATTTCTTCTTGGTGTTTGTGAAAAAAAAATACAGTGCCCGCAGGTCCTTCACGATTTTCCAGGTACTGATGAGGCTTACATGACAAAGAGGGTTCTTTATAAACTGGGGAGCCTGGTGTTTGCTTGCTGTTCCTTCCCCAGCGGTGTGGCTCCAAGGAAGCAGGTACTGGACACACAGTGCTCCTTCCGGCCACGGTGATGCCTCCCTGTGCTCCCACCTGCTCTCAGGAAGTCACTTGAGTGCTGGCAAAAAGTGCAGCTTATTATTTGTTCCTTTGTGGTCTCTCCTGACTTCTTATTGCAATATTATTGAAATGTTTTCTTTACTGGAACAAATATATTCCATTTGGATTATGTCATGAACTTCGTCTGGAATAATGAGACTTTCATTACCTTTTGTGTGTCACCTCTTTTTCACATCACTTGTCTGGTGGCACCAAGACTACTTCCTCACTGAAAATAGATCCTTTTACAATCAATAATAGGGTGGCTAGTGTTCATTTTTCTTGGGAAAACAAAAATGTGCACCTTTTATCCTATTATACTGATCCACCAGCTTCAGATTATCTGATTTTCTAGCTTCTCATTTTCTCCTGTATCTTAATGCTATTATTAACAAGAATTCTGTTGCTAATGGTTTTGAAAAGTAATATGTGTGCTTTCAGCTACTACCTCTGTTTTTATGGTTTGTCTGATTTAGCTGGACTTTGATAATTGTTCCAAATGCTGCTTTGTTGTGGATCAAATGTGAGGAGCCCTAATGTCCTTCTAGATATATTTTCAATGTCCTTACTTTTGCTATAAGAGAACAGAGTTAATATTTTTAACTATCTGTCACTATAATAGTCTGTAGTTTATATCATATTTTAAGAGTTTATATTCTCTATGTAATATAGCCTATATTCTTTACTGCTTCTCTCTCTCATTTTTATTTATTTACTTTAGGACAATAGTTCAATAAATATCTGCATATATTTTTTTTTCATGATGAAAATTTGTAAAAGTATAATCCAGAGCAGGTTCCCCTTAATTTTTTTGTTTTGAGAAAATCCCAGATATTAATAGATGTATTGGTAAATGTATTCTTTGAAACATTTATTTTTAAATGTTTTACATTATTATACAAATAAAAAATATGCTAATATGCAATGTAAGTCACTTTACGGATTATGCAGTGTGCAATAGTTCCCAAACCTATTTGATCATAGAACCCTTTTCAAATGATTAGCCTTTTGAGAAATGCCCTGTAACAGGACAGATGTTGGTCCCTGAGAGCGGCATGGAAATAAGTCCCTGCCATAACCCTGTCATGAAGAAAAATGTAAATTACGTTAAAAAAACTTTAAATAATAGGAAACCAGTGACTTTTATATTGTAAAAAAATATTTTATTAAAAATTATATAGAGGGGAAAAAACCCTTCAACTATCTAGTTATTATTTACATGGACTTATTCATTGTTTGTTAATGATAAATTAAAGTTTTAAATGTAAATTTAATTTTTTCTTTATAGTAGTATTAGGATTTAGAAGAGATTTATATTTCCTAAGAATCATAGACTTCCTGCTATATAAAGCAACAATCATTATTTTCGAAATTTTATAACAATGATTGGTGGCCAGGTAAACATAGATGCCTGCGTGTAAACATATATGTCTAAAATTTCTTGAAGCAGAATAGTTCCATAGTAATGAAAACAAAGGCAACAAATAGAGACCAGATTGGCTTAGATGGGGAGGAGGACTCTTGGACTGATTATATCCAGATAAGGTTTTTTAGAAAAGGTGACTTGGAGGAGAGAAGCAAACAGAATCTTCAAAGAAGGAAAAGAGAATAATTTAGTGATTTCTGCCAAGAGAAACTGTCCTAATTTGGTTAACAGTGAAGAGTCTAAAGAACAGAAAAATAGATAGGCTTAGACAAATAGAAATCATGAGCTAGTCCTGTAAGATACTGTGGGGAAAATAAGACAAGTAAGTTTGGGAAATGCTATTTCATCCTCGTGTTTAATTTTGTCTTAATTGAACTTTCACAAAATGAATTTATCACAGAATCATTTTCCTCATAAATTAAGAACCCTCACAATACTCCTTGGGAGAACACTGCTTAAAGTAATAGGAAATAAAGACCACTAATTAATGGGCCTCGACCATAATCATTGCTTCTTTGGGACAAAAATGGTGAAATTTAGGTCATACATATTATTTTATGCATTGAATTGAAATGGATTAATCTTTCAATACTGTTAAATTTCTGAAATACCAGAACCTTCTAAATCCAAGTCACATAGGTAAGGCCTCTTCAAGTAGATCCTCAGACCCTATGGAATTTAAAAACAAATAGCACTATTAGAATATAGTATTTTGAGTCAAAGACATTTTTGAGGGGGGGGATTTTTTGTTTATGTTATAAACATACATAATACTTCTAATTTAGAATTGAGCTATGCAAAACCTTCTTAAATATGTTTCATTTCTAGCCAACTTATGAAAGAATTAGGACAGACCTGGCCGGTTTGACTCAGCAGTTAGAGCATCAGCCCACTGACCAAAGGGTCTTGGGATTGATTCCTGATCAAGGGCCATACCTGGGTTGCAGGTCCGATCCCCTGCCCAAGTCAGGGTCATGTGGGAGGCAACCAATGGACGTGACTCTCACATCAATGTTTGTCTCTCTCTCTCCCGCTCCCTCCCTTCCACTCTATATAAAAGTCAGTGGAAAAATATCCTCGGGTAAGGATTTAAAAAAAAAAAAGAACTAGGACACAATCTGAGTCGTTGAAAATTTGGCTTATAAACATTTAGTTTTAAAAGCAACATCTTAAAGATTTAGAATGCTAAACCAGCCCCTCCATCTATATGAGCAAGGCTTAACAGAAATCAAACAGGCCAAGTGAGAATTAAGGAATGGCTAAATGAATCATAATCTATTATTGTCTTTTCATTTTTAGGTCATGAGTCTAATGGCAAAACCTTGGTTATATGTATTGGTTGTATGTGTTATGTTCTCGGTTTGCCTATGGAAGAATAGTAGATGTCAGTAGGGCTATTTAGATAGACTTTGTATGTAGAACTAACATCACTTAGAGGCGAAACAGTTTTTATAGGTACTCATAGATTTTTTTTTAAAGCCCCCCTTTTCTTACTCTTTAAGAATAGGACTACCCTTCCCAGGTGGCTCAATTGTTTGGAGTGTTGTTGAACACCAAAAGGTTGCAGATTCGATCCCAGTAGGAGCACATACAGGAGGCAACCGTTTGATGTTTCTCTCTCACATCAATGTCTCTCTCTATTTCTCTCTCTCTTTGTCTCGCTTCCCCTCTCTCTAAAATCAGTGAACATATTCTCTGGTGAGGATTAAAAAAAGAAGAAGAATAGGACTAAATTCCACAGTTTAAGTTGGTTGGCAGATTTCTCTCATATTAGCTGCAAAGATACCATGACAATTTTGGTCCTCAGTGAAAACTGTATTGTATGGTTACACATTTGATTCAAACATTGTAAATTTTATGAATTACACATAAAATTGCTATATTACTGGAATCTTTCTTCTAAATTCATGTGATGAAGGTAACCTAACTTTTCATGGAATCACCAGACCTTACATCATTTCTACGTAGTACTCTTAATTTTTTCTCTCCAAAGGAACTTTATAAGAGTATTCAAAATTTTCAATCTGTAATTAAGCCTCAAAAACACTCCTTAAATATGTGATGTAAGAAGTGGCAATAATAAAGAAAGGGTTTTTTAAATCCTTAAAAACTTGGTCAAAGGTGCCATTTGGTGAGGTCAGTCTTATTCTCCATACTCTTAAAAAGTTTAAGATATTTTTCTATTATATTAAAGTAGTAGTGTGACTTGATAAGTAGCTTAATTATAATAGGAAAGTAATCAACCTTTGTTTATTTTAAGTTGTAATTTTCTTAAGAAAGCAATAGATATAACAATTATTTTTACAGATTATTTTTTAAAACATTGTTTTATCAATTATAGAGTCTAGATTCTTGTTTTTAGTGAGGTAGTAACAACATTTCTAAGGTCTTTCTAAAGACCTTGTAATTTTAATTTCAGACTACAAAAAATATTTTGATTCCTCAAATGTTAATATTTTACTACATTTGCATTCTCTTCCTCTTAAAACTATTTTTTCCCTGAACTTAAAATAGGTTACAGACATTTACCTTTATACACTTCGATGTGTATTTCATAAATACAAGGGCATTCTCTTTCATAACCACAGTATAGTTATCTGAATTAGAAAATTAACAGTCATGCAATAATAGCATCAAACTGTAGATTTTACTCAGATTTCAGCAAGTTACCCCAATAATGTCCTATTAAAATACTGATTGTGTATTAAATTCCTTACTGATTTTTTTAGAGAGAGAGAGATTTGTTGTTCCACATAGATATGCATTCCTTGGATGCTTCTTGTATGTGCCCTGACTGGGGATTGAACCCTCAAACTTGGCGTATCGGGGCAACACTCTAGCCAACTGAGCTATCCAACCAGTTCCTCATTGTGGATTAATTTTAGTCCTCATGTCTTTTAGACCTTTTTTGACTAGAACATTTTTTTAGTCAAAACCTAGTCTTTGTGTTTCTGGACACAATATTTTTGAAGAGCAAAGATGAGCTATTTCGTAGAACATTCATCAATTTGGATTTGTCTTACGTTTTCTTGTGACTAGATTAAAGTTGTACCAGACTTTTAAAAAAAAATAGAATTGTAAGATATGATTTTACAACAAATCACATTCCTGTTTATAGCTCTGAGAGTAAATATATTTATTTGTCTTATTTGCATCAAAGAAAATACTCATCTCCCCTTCCCAGAGGTAAAAGACTCTCATAGGAGATATTATGTATTTCTTAAAGAACAAATGTGGGTTATTTATTGGGGGTCTTGTTAGTTTTGATGGTTGATGGAATCACATAGAGTATAGTCTTTACTGAGAAAGCAAGCACGATGTACTATAGTACCAATCTTCTCTTTTCACAGTTACTCCTGAATGCCCACACAAAGGAAGAAACTTTTTCCTTTCCTTAGATGAACTTGAATTCTTATCACAGCTCGTAAAATCCTTTTTGAAGCTGGAAAAAAATGTTCAAGAATTATTTGAAGAAATGTTTTTATCACTCAAGATACCCTGGAATAATAAATCAGGTAACGTGCCCTTTTGTTTAAATGTGTAAGTCTATCATTCTATTTTTGGTTCCTGCCGCTGAATCTATACCATTACTTGAAAAAGATACATGATAGAATTATTTAAGGAAACATAAAGTCTGAAAGAAACATTTAAGTAAAGAAAATTCTATTAAACCATAAAATTACATTTTTATTCTTTACATATGGCAAATGCCATAATTCTAGTTGACAAAGCATCATAAGTCAATTCTAGATAATTGCCTTTAACTGAAATCAGATCATTTTTTAAATATTCAAAGAAACACAGCCTGGCCTATGAAAAGACTAAGCAGACATAATCTAGTACCTCCTCTTCTGCTACTAGCAGCAGGATGACCTTGAGCAAAATATTTAGCTTCCTTAGACCTCAGTTTTCTCATTGTCACAGTGATGGTGTAGGATGAAACTAATTTTCTTTTTGTTTTCTTTTACAATTAGATGCTTTAGATTACAATATGTTATGTAAGGCTGTGAGAATTAAATGATTAAGTATATGTGAATTATTTAAAAGAATGGCCCTGGCCAATTTGGCTCAGCAGTTAGAGCGTCGGCCTACGGTCCAGAGACCCGGGTTAAGTTTCCGCTAAGGGCATGTACCTCAGTTGCAGTCTATCCCTGGCCCTGGTTGGGTCGTGCGGGTGGCAGCCACTTGATGTGTCCCTTTCACGTCGATGTTTCTCTCTCTCTCTCTCTCTCTCTCTCTCTCTCTCTCTCTCTCTCTCTCTCTCCTACTCTATCTGAACAAAAAATGGAAAAAAGGCCTCAGGTGAGGATAAAAATAAAAATAATAATAATAATAAAATAAAATAAAATAAAAATAAAAGAATGTCTAGCATATCATAAACAATAAGTTGTTATAATAGTAATTGGAATTATATAATATGTTACTTTTAGTTTAGTCTTAACAAACTCCTTTTGAAGAAAGCAGTGCCATGTGTGCTGGAATAATGTTTCTAAAATTAAAGATGGAATTCAAAGCCATATTAGTTAAGATATGTTCTCTGTGTTCATATCTATACTTATACAATTTTCATCTATATCACAATAAACAATATAAAATTCTCTTTTACATGATACCATGTATCATTTTAAGGAGAAAAATAGATACTGGCTGCATTTGTAAACAAAGTTAGGTAAGCAAGTAAATTTGAACTGAGTTCAAAAGCTGATAACTTAGTAAGGAATTATATTTAGTTTAATATATTTATTTTTTGTATTTTTAAATTTACTTTGCCTTGGTAAATAATGTTAGAAAAGTTATAGGGTTAAATTAAGCATAGCTTACTTGCTTTCTGTGTTTCAGGTTGAGTTTAAGTAGCACTATTAAATTTTAAAATAAATTATGTAGATAGATCATTTTTCCAAATTTAGAGATATTCTGAAGAAAAATGGAGGTGGTCATAGATTTAAGATGCTGACAAAAAGAACAATGGCAAAATAATAAAAAGATAAGACACAGAATATGAAAGTTAAAAGACAGAACAGAAAGTAGAGTTAATTAGGAGATAATGTGAGCCTTAGAGGGTCTTCTAGATGGAACTGACCTGGTCAAAGAGAGATCGAGGTAGAGAAATAAGACATCCTGATTTTTGATTAACATGTTGGTTCCTCGAGCAGTTGATACCCTTGGTATAGGTACTCGTCCATCATGCCTGGCTAAGATCTGGCATCCCTCATCTACATCTCTAAGAGATCTTTTCTGCGGTGTGGATAAATAAATAGAGTGCATTCCAAGAAATCTAGACCCCTACACATTTGGACTCATTTCGTATTGGTCCTAGGCCAGGCCCTAGAAAAATTAGGTTAATTCTGAGAACTGTAACCTTCTTAAGGGCAACACAAATTGAAAATTAGTATTGTGTTAGAGAAGTTTTGTAAAGATGTAAAACTGACATGACCAAGAATTGAAGCAAAAGTTTGTCATAGTGATTTCAGAAAAAAAGGAGAAGAAAAAGCAGGTTCAACTTCATTAGATTAAGATTAAGCAGTGTTGTGACATGGCAAATGCAGTATATTTAAGAACAGTAGTTACCATTGAATAAAATCAACAGAGAAAATATGTAATTTTGCCACAATATTACTGTCTTATTCCATCTGTATCATCATATAAGCACCATGGCAGATAAAAGTAACTTCAATATCACATTAATACTCATGTACTATAGAAATATATTTGTGGATTATTGAACATACTATGAAAGGGATTTTGAAGAACATGTATAAAAAATGTCTAAGTACTGGAACATCCCCTTGTGATATATATCTTCTTTATTGCTGAAATTTATATTTTTTGTAACAAAGCCAAGGTTGATTTAATCTGATATAACTTTATGGTTCCCTGAAAAGAATGATCTTGAGGGAAATTGTGAAGAAAATTCTTAAATGTTTTATTCTGTATAAGCCAAGCTAATCAGTTCTTATCAAAAAACCTTGTTTCTTAAATCAGGAAGGAAAAGATTCCTTGAAATGGATGATTAAAGAAACCAAATGTATCTTAAGTTATCCTGGTAGTTAATCTTTTGCTTAACAATCTTATATGGGAGAGAATGGGATAAAAAAAAGATCAAGTCATTTGGTTTCCTGTGTATTTCTTTTGATTGGAGCATATTTTGCTAATAAAGATCTTGGAAAGAGTTACCTACTATGTCTATGTAACCAAAACAATGTGATGAAAGGTGAGTTGTTTTTTTTTATTGTCCAGATGTTTTAAAAATATCCAGGTGTTTAACATCACATAGAGTAAATACAAAGATGCTTAACCAAATAATTTACTTTTTACTTTGATGTTTCCTACTATGTTTTCAAGTTAGTCGAATTGGCAGTGTTCTTAGTGATTTGAATATGATTTAATAGATTTTATAAAGACACAAATATTTTTTGAGAAAGAAATAGTATTTAGTTATTATATTTATTTTCTTTTTGGGTCATAATTTGATGGTTTTCTATTTTGGTCATTTCAGAAAATGATAGGACATTATTTGAGTGTTATTGTATTTCTTTTAGGTGATTATATCTTATGGAGTAGCTTTGGGTTTGATTTATGGGGCACTTCTAACACTCTTTCAAAATAAAGTTGTTCTTTGGGCAGTTCCTCAAATTTTCCAAAGGTGGCATCTGAGATTTATCTAAACCAGGATTTCTTGGCCCTCATTTTTCTTTAGCCCCAGCAATGACAAAGAGCAATGGCTGCTTCAATTGGATGTAAGAAGAACACTTAGGGTTTGTCTCAGAAGAATCAAAGATTTCAGATCTTCTGAAAGATTGTTTGTACTCTTAGGGGGTCTTAAGAGGGGTCAAATGGCTTCTAAGAGTTCCTTAGCTAGATGGTTAAGGGATTGTATTAGGGAGGTGTATGTAGTTAAGGTAAAGAGGCTCCTAGGGTTTGTAAAGCTCATTACACTAGGACTTTAGCTGTTTCTTGGGCAGAGAGGTCGAAGGCTTCCACATGGGAAATTTGCAAGGTGGCCACCTGGGCTTCTCTTCATACTTTTTCATAGTATTATCTCTTGGATGTAGTCTCTTCTACAGATTCAGCTTTTGGTGGGAGTTTGCTTGTGAGCCAGAAAAGAACAGTGAAGAAAAGAAAGACTTGTAGTTCCCACTTAGAGCTGCCAACAAGGCAAGTTGCTTTGTAGTGCACACAATGGGAGCCTATGAAGACCAATTTGGGTGTGAAAGTGGATGTCACAGGGAAGTACTGCCAACCTCTACTCCCTATGAAAGAAAGCAACAGTGTGGGAACTAACCAGAAGTGGAAAATGAACCACAGTGAACTCTGTCAGGGAGGCTGTTCAGCAGCTAGCATTCCTGTGATGCTCTTTACTCTACTGAGGTCATTAATCTGAGCGTGCTCTTAAAGAAACCAGTGTTGATTGCATGCAAATAACCTATGTTTTAGAGGATTGAGTCCAAAATGGGCTACCTTATCTAGACAATGCTAGTAGGTGTATAGGATTTTCAATATATTTTTAAATGGGTGAAATAATTTATCAAATGTTCACAGAGCTTATGAAGTTTGACAATGTGGAAGTTTGACCATTTTGAATTCCAAACAAATATAAAATGCCACAATTTGTTAAAACCATGAGATTTTTTTTAGGTTAGATTCAACGTTACTAATCCTGCCTTTAAATGATTCCTTTTGCTTCTCCATATAGGATTAAGTTTTTGTTTAATCTTTTTTTTATAATTTAGTAGGAGAGGGACACAATATTATTTGATAATCATTTTCTATCTTACTATAGAATTGTGCACCAGCAAGAAAAAGCTTGGGAAGTTTATCTGTTTTTTTTACTAATCTTGAAAACAGGCAGATGGTTTATACAAATATCAAAGAACATTACTTTGAATGAATAAGAATATTGTATTTGGAAGTACAATGATCAATATAAGATAATTGAGTCTTAAATTATAGCTACACAATGGCAGATAGTTATTTCCAGAAATGCATCTATAAGCTTATACTTTGAACTAGTGTTAGTATTCCAGATTAAATACCTTTTAAATCAGCTGGTTTTGTGACCTATCTCTAGAAAAGCAAAGTGACATTAAGAATGCAGGTGTTGCTCCTTCATGTCATTAACTTGATCTTTATTATTTTTTCTTTTTTAAAAATGTTTTTTTTGAATAGTAGATCCTCATATAGTAAAGCATTTAAATAGGACAAAAGAGTATATGGTAAAAATTATGTCTTTTTCCATTCCAGTTGTCTAGTTTCACTTTCCAGAGGCAACTACTTCCACGCATATCCCTATGTTAAAATAACACAAAAATTTGACATACTATGCAGAAATTCTTTTTTATTAACAGCTACGTAGAAATACCTCATTCTAACAGCTGAATAGTTTTTCACTGGTGCATTTAACTGGGTACTCACTGGTGGACATTTAGGGTTTTATTTTCCTGTTTATTTGCTACCACAAACAATGATATGGCAAATTTTCTTGAACTATGTCATCATATGTGCACATGTATATCTGGACAGTAAATTTCTAAAGTGGAATTGCCACATAAGAATGTGTGGTTGTTAAGTGGATGAAAATACTAGCCATAGACTTCGAACGCTTTTTGCAAAACACGTATCTGATAAAAGACTTGTATCTAAAATATAACAAAAAACTTAAAATTCAACGGGAAAATTAAAAGCTCAATTAAAAAGAAACTGAGCCAAATATCTGAACAGACACCTCACCAAAGAAGAGATACAGATGGCAAATAAGCATATGAAAAGATGTTCCACATCACGTCATCAGGACATGCAAATTATACAAGGAGCTAGCGCTGCACACCAATCAAAATGGCTAATGTTTGAAACACTAACAGAACCAGTTTCCACAAGGATGTGAAGAAACAGGAACTCACATTCATTGCTGATAGGAATATAGCATCTTTGGAAGACAATTTAGTTGTATCTTCCAAAGCTAAACATTGTCTTATATGAGCCAGTAATTGTATTCCTAGGTCTATATGCAAATGAGTAGGAAACTAATGTCCACACAAAAAACTGCACACAAATGTTTATAACACTTTATTCATACTGCCAAAACTTGGAAGCAACCAGATTGACCTTCCCTAGGTAAATTTGATAAACTGTAGTACATCAATACAATGGAATGTTATTCGGTGATAAAAAGAAATGAGATATCAAGCCATGAAAACATGGAAGAGACTTAAATGCACATTGCTAAGTGAAAGAAGCCAATTTGAAAAGGCTACATACTATATGATTCCAACTATGACTTTTATGACATTCTGGAAAAAAAACTGTATAGAGATAGTAAAAAGATCAGTGGTTGTCAGGGGGAGAGAAAAGACATGTGACTAGGTAGAGCACAGGGGATTTTTAGAGCAGTAAAATAATTCTCTATGATATAGTAAAGGTGGATACATAATGTTATACATTTGGCAAAACCCATTGAACTGCACAACACAAAGAACGAACCCTAATGTAAACTGTGGACTTTAGTTAATAGTAAGCTATCAATATGAGTTCATCAGTTTTAACAAATATACCACACCAATGGAATTGGTTAACAACAGGGGAAACTGAGGGCAAGTGAGAGAGAGTATATGGAAACTCTGTACTATCTGCTCAATTTTTTTGTATGCCTAAAAATGTTCTAAAAACTAAAGTCGATTAATTTTTTTTTTTAAGGTATGGATATTTTGAGAGAGAGTGTCAAGTCAGTTTTTTATATCTATTTTGACTGCTAATCGTATTTTTGTTATGCAGAATTGTTTTGTGTGATTCTAGAAAGTTTTTACACAGGTTTTTTGAAAAAATATTACATATTTTAATAGCATTATAGTAGGCTTGTTCTTTATTTAAAATCTTTGATTAATCTGGATTTTATTTCAATGTTAGAGTCGATCCTTGTTTATACATATGAAAAGACTTAATAGAATGCAAGCTATGGAGAAAATATTTTAGGTTAACTGGTGGAACACTGATCTAAACCTTCTCTCTGTTGTGATGTTTGTTGAGAAGTGAAGCAGGATTCCTACACTGCAGTCTGTGAGCCCTTGAGGTTCATGGATGCACTTTACAAGGGGCCTGAGAATCCTTAATAATGTGTGTGTGTGTGTGTGTGTGTGTGTGTGTGTGTGTGTGTGTGTGTGTGTGTGTATGTGTGTGTGTGTGTACTTACTATGGAGTTTTATGGTACATTTTGGATGGAGTGTTCTCTTACTTTAATCAAGTTCTCAAAGTGTTCATAAATCCAAAATGATTAAAAAACACGAGTTAAGGAAAAGTGTTCCTCAAAATAGATAAATTCTAATAAAATTTCCCAAGAGGATGTGATCACCAAAAATCTCTCTAGGTAATGTTTCAGTCAACTGTGTTAGTACAAATTATTCATGATTAAGCTCATATAGCCATATTGAGAACAACAAAAAAGCACACATCTTCCAGATGAATATATTGGTCAGAAGCCCTACCTAGAAAAATCAGTGAGATTTTGAAATTTATTTGTTCAGGATATAAGTAGAAGTTTACTGTTAAGATCCTAATATTTTTTAAATGTTATATAATAGTTATATTTCATCATCATATATATCAAGCCTAAGCAAAAAATAAAATAAATGCTAACTTATTTATATCAAATTAAACTATAATTAATAGAGCCTTAGTGAAAAAGTGGAATAATTTCTTTTTGGCATATATATTTATTACATTTTTGAAATTTATTTTTTGTCCCATGTAAAAGAGTTCCTTAATGCTAAAAACTAAAAGTAGAGAAAATATTTCCATTTTAGGAACTAGAGATTATTTCTTTTTTTAAAAAAATTATTTATTGATTTGAGAGAGAGAAGATGGGGGAAGAGAGAGAAAGAAACATCAGTTTGTTTCTTTTTAATCTCTTTCATTGGTTGATTCTTGTATGTGCCCTGACTGTAATTGAACCCACAACCTTGGTGTATCAGAACAATGCTCCAACAAACTGAGCTACCAGGACAGGGCTAGAGATTATTTCTTATATGTTCCAGTGTTTGTATTTTTCCAATGAATTATTGGTATACTTATTAAGAGTGTAATTTTTCCTGATATATTGATGTTAATCTATGCACTTCTGTTCTTCCTTGTTTCAAGAAAGGAAGTATTGAAGCACTAAGGAACATTACCAGTTTCAAAATGCAGTACCTTAGAATTAAACTTTGTACACAAACAAGGAAATTAATATTTATTTTGTATTCTTAACATATTCTACATTATCAACAATGAATTAATAACAAAAGAAACAGTGGTTCACACATTATATATGTATGTACATCAAATATGAATATAAATAACACATAAATTTCATTAAGTTGAAGGTATGGAAAAGGAGTCAGTATATTTTGATACTGTCATTATTGTAATGGTGACATCACCCTACATCTTGTTGACTATATTCTCTGCATTCCATATGCATGCATATGTGTATAGAGTATGGATAGAGCTTTTGTATATAAATTAATTTTAACTTGATTCTATTAATGACACCTAGTATGGTTTGTTTTTCTTAATGTATGTTTGTGTGTTTTCTTTTTTTCTATTGCATAGGAATTATGGACACATCCAGTAGAGAAGCTATAATAGAGAAACCCGGAGCAAATGAAACCAATATTTCTTCAGAACAATTGCTACCAGGAAAAGAAGTAAGTGAGGGAGAAAAGAGTGGTATTTCTTTATTCATAAATAATAGCATTATCATATGTCTGTGAATTCATTATAAATAAAAATGTCTTGAGTTTTACCTTTTGACACTAAAAGAAATGATTCTTGATTGAAATTGGCTTATACGTTTTTTGACCAAAATTTAATTTAGTGGATACACTGCTCTCTTGCACAATCTGTTCCACGGACAGATTGTGAGGAGGGAGCTGGAAGTGAGGAGGTTTTTGTTCACATCCCAACTCAGGGTCTACACTTTGAGAATCTGGACTATAGACAATTGCTGAAAAAAAGAGATTAAAAAGGAAAGAGGAAAGAATACTTTGAAATGGCCTCTTATTTTAGTGCGTCCAGGATATACCTGTATGTACTCAGATCATTGCCACTCTTTCCCTGCTCTGTTCTATACAATAGAGAATACATCTTCCAGACTTCCTTGCTTTCTGGATACTGGGAAGTTTTGCCAATGCAGGGCATTGATGGAAGACCTGGAGGTAGTTGTTGGAGAAAAACCAGAGTATTTCTTCCCCTCTCACTGTTTTAGGGACTATCTCTAGCAGTACCTGTGTCTCCTACATTTCCTCCATGGGCCCTGCTCCCACCGTACAGTGCTCCCTCCATGGTTCCGTTTCCAGCTGGCGTTCTTGCCTTTAGCTTTGACTGGTGGCCCCAGGAACTGGGCTCTTTCTCTGTTCCTCAGCCCTCGGAGCAGTCATGGCTTCCTGCTGCATTAATATCTGTCTGGCTTCACAGCCCATGTTTGGCTCCACAAAATTTCACCACCTTAGTAACCTACATTAATTTTTTTTCCCCTTTGAAATGTCTAGAATGGTTTGTGATTTCTGAATGGACCTTAACTGATACATTTAAAAAGCTTAAAGAACATTGGGTTTTAAGTTTCAATTTAGAAAGCAAGACTAGTAATCAGGAAAATGCAAAGTTATACATTATGTTTTAACCAAAAATCAGAGTAGGTAATAGGAAATTAGCTTTAGGTAATGGAAGAAAGGAATTCAACAGGTACGTACTTTGTGCACAGAGCAGAAAGCCACATTATTTTCCCTTTATTCTCGTATCAATTAGTAAAAGTTCTCTATTCTAACAAATATTTTTGGTGCCAAACATCAGATGGAAAGAGTAGAAGAAAGCAAACAATATTTTATGAAAACAAATAGACTTCTTAGGAGGACATATGAGTAGTAAAGGTTTTTAGCTTCCTTTTTAATAGCAGCTATTAATGTGCTTGATTTTCTATATTTTGAAAAGAAAATTCAGATGGGCCAAGATATTATAACCACATATAAATGATCTCGGGCCAAAGTGATCATCATTGCGTGCGCACGCACACACACACACACACACACACACACACAAATTACCACTGCAGCCATGGCAATTGCTGGCAGTTTTCACCAGAATACATTTTCTTGGGTGAATGAATTTTAATGAATAGATATGCCCAGGCTGAAAAAACAAAAACCAGAGTTTTGTTGTTTTTCATTTTTGCGGAGGTGGTTTTCTTTTTCTGTCATAAATGTGTCCCAAGGAAATACTATTATAGCACAGGATTACACCCATGGTACTTCTAAATTTTCACCTATAATAAGGGAGATTATATGAGCTGAGTAGATTAAAATATTGAATAATTTTGTGTAAAATAAAATGAGGAATATGTTTTTAGGCCCTCTGATGTTTAAGGTCCTAACAAACTTTTTAGAAAGTTCAATTACAACTTAATTATAAGCATAATGAGAATGAGAGCCACTTTTTCTGATTATAGAATCATGGAATAATTGAGTTTTCATTCTAGAAGAAGAATCACCTTTATTACTTTGTACAGTATGTACAAAAAGCATTAAATTAATGTTGAATGGGATGTGTGTATAAGAAAATGAAGCTAATGATCATAATCTCAGTAATTTTAGACTAAAATAGACCTTAGAAATCATTCAGTTCAGCTCTTTTTTTCTAACAAAAAAGTTGAGACCTAGAAAAATGAGTAATCTAGTCAGGGATATTGAGCCTAAGGTCTCTGATGTTGGAGTAGGTAAATTATTACTGTAAACAAGATTACATTAAACAGAGTTTGATTCTCAGCATAGGTTCAGCCTACTACCCATAAAGCTTTTAGCACTGTAGAGAACATTAGAGGACTTGGGGGAAATATACATTTCTAAATATATTGCTATATTAGACAAAGACCAGAAGAAAAATAGAAAACAAAAAACACCAGCATCCACCACGACCTCTCCGACTCCCCCCACACGGAGTAAAGCAGATCATTTTATTTTTCATTTTCTGAAACAAAAGTAGTACCATGTACCAGTTTATGCGTGGAGAAACTAAATAAAATTCTAAAGAAGTAAAAATCTAGAAAGGTGCTGTGGTATATTTTCTGTGAGAAATTTATTTCTTATTGCTATTTTGTCGCTTGTCTGGATTTCTGAGAGTGAAAAAGAAATAAAAGATTGAATATTAAATGCTGTCTTATGTTGCAATACTTGTTAACAATAAACTATAAAAAAGACTATAAAAATCTAATTTAGACTTTATTAAATATATTGAATTTAAAGTTTGCTTTATGTGATAAATAGTAAGAGTAACTTTCAGCTCTCATAAAGATGGTTTTATTGAACAATATTTAAGAGATTAAATTTTGAAAAAAGTTTTTGATTAAATCCACTGATGAATTAAAATGAAATGTCAGTATATTACTGTGTGTAAGGAATGCACATGTTTTCGTATATTGCTTTATTCACTGGGTAATATTTTTCAGGTTGTAAGAATGGCTTTTACATTTTATCAAAGAACACCTATATTCAACATGCTGAATGAAAACAATAACGTTATACCAATAACAACAGAAACACTTGTTGCTGAATTAAGATCAATATGACTTCATATAAATGTATATTTCAGGCTACGCTACTAGATTTTGGCTGGAGAAGTGCATTTAAAGAAGTGTCTCTTCCCATGGCGCACTGTGTAATCACAGCAGTTGAAGATTTTTCCATAAAAACTCTCCAACAGGAACACAGTGAAAGGTCTTCAGCTGTGACCTATGCTATGAACCTTGTAAATGTCCAACATGTTTGGCAAGACAGCGGTGTGGTTCCTGAGGACGACCAACCAAAGAACATTGCGAAGGCAAGAATCAAATGAAGTCCTTTCAAAACTGTAGACTGGCAAAATGAGTGTTTTCTTTTCTTTCTTCCTCCCTCCCTCTTGCCTTCCCTCCCTCCCTCCCTCCCTCCTTTCCTTCCTTCCTTCCTTCCTTCCTTCCTTCCTTCCTTCCTTCCTTCCTTCCTTCCTTCCTTCCTCCCTCCCTCCCTTTCTCTCTTCTTTCTTTCTTTCTTTCTTTCTTTCTTTCTTTCTTTCTTTCTTTCTTTCTTTCTTTCTTTCTTTCTTTCTTTCTTTCTTAATATAAGCCATTGCAATGGGAACCTGGAGGAAAAATGGTGGAGACTCTTGGCAAATACTTGGCACTGGACCCAACAGCAGTTTTTTTTCTCTGGGATCATGGGCCACTGCTAGCAAAAAGGACTTAAACCTGTTACCACCTTGGTGCTCCATGAGGCTTGGGCAACTAGAGAGGGGGCCTCTGTGACTTCATGGGGAGCCGGGAAAATTGCTCGTTTGGATTACATCTCTGATGACTTCAGAAAAAATTTAGGAGGTTGAAGGAGTTATTGACTTTTATTAGTTTGGGCAACTTTTAAATCTTTACCCCTATGGAATATTCTATTTCATGAGCATCAGTCTTACATGTTTACATGTGCTTTGAGAGTCACAGAACATACTGAGAAAATGCAGTCATCATACACATAGATAAACACAGTTACTCAGCATTAAGTCTGCAATGAGTTCAGCACCCTATGATTGAAATGTTTTTAAAAGAGAGTTATTAAAGATGACCTCCCATTCTGCTACTGCCACCCTGAAGCTCCAGAACATTCCCCAAGGAACACTGTTAACTAATCTGGAATGAAGGCAGGTTTTGCCTTCTTATCCACCACGCCTCTTTTGCCATTAAGAAGTAGTAGCTTCATAATAATTAGTGCAAAGCTACTCACGTTACTTCTAAAAGTTGCTGACTCCTTGCCAATGAGAGGACACTACATGAGGTTATTTCTGATGCTTCTAGATTTAGTTCAACTGATATAGACTTATGATTAATAAACAAATTTTATAAAAATTTAGCAAGAGAAAATTAAAATAAATTTAAAAACAATGCAATTTGTATTACTATTCAAGGGTACATATTTTCTGTGTTCTATTAACTACAGATAAAAGTGTTGTCATATAAAGCTACTTCATGAGGTTTTCATAATGTCTGCAAGGTAAGCATAAGGTTTAAAGGTTTTATAGAGAGAGAAGCATCATTTTGGTATTTCTTTGTTTGACATAAAACATTTGACTTTCTACAATCAATTACTATAAAGTTGTGTGATTATATTTATGTTTGATGCCATATTCGTTATTTAGGCATTTGGCTCCCTCGTACATAAATTACATAGTGCTGTCAGAGTACCAATAACTCAGTGCTACATTTATTTCTCCCTAGTTTTGTTCTGACATCATGGAAAAACTTGACACAATGCTTCCACTGGCTCTGGCATGCAGAGATGATTCTTTTCAGGAAATTAGAGCAAACTTTGTGGAGGCCTGTTGTAAAGTGGCAACAGCTGTCCTGGCGAGGCTGCAAGAGAGAAGCAAGGAGTTTCCTTGCAAAGCACCCCTGAGAAACTTGCACACGTTGCTCTCCACGGCAGTCTACGTCTTCCAGCATTTTACTCAATATGATAATTTGATGAAAGAAAATACTAACAAGTGAGTGTCATTTATGTTAACTTGATGGCCATCTTTACAGTAACATGTAATCTTTGGATATCATAGGAGTGAAATTGTGATGATACTATTTGAGGAGAAAATAATTAACATGGTGAATTATATTCATTTGTCTTGACTAGGAAATGTCAAAAAGGTGGAGCAGGGGGTATATTAAACCAGATACACAGATAGTAGGAAAGATATGTATTATTTCTAAAGATTTACTCAAGAGACCCATGCATTTTCCATATTCTGATCAGGAGCAACAATTTTCTGCAGGCTGTTGGGACATGACCAAACCCTTTTTATTTTGTTAGTCATGTTGTATTGACTACAATGAAGAGGAAAAATAAACTTCTTTTTGTCCCATGTATACACAGTTTGTGAAATATGCACTTCCCTCTTTTGTTTCTAAGTCAACAGGATGCTAGGAGCTGACACAAAATAAACACATTTCAATCTGGTCTATTGACTAATGTAAACATATTTCAGAATATCAATTTAGTAATAAACTATCATTAATATTTGAGAAGGAAGCATCTAGCAGTCTTATTCCTCGTGTACTGGTAATCTAAAAAGATTATGTTTTCTGTATAAATAATAAAAATGACCACAGTATCACATGTACTCTCTGTGTACTCTCCAGAAAATGGTATGGCCCCTTGCAAAGGGAACAAACATGTGGGCTTGACATTCCAGTGTGAATCCAAGAATCTATTCGACATTACTTAGTCAGCCTTTGCAGATCCTTAGTTATGAGAGAGAGCATAATACAAATAGCTAACAATAAAAGTAAAATAAATTTGGCTTGATGTAGGATGTAACTATGATATTTCTTTAATCCCCATAAGTAGTCAGATGTTGTGATTCATACTTGAATTTATAAACAAAATGTGCCAAAAATCACTTCATTTCTGTAGAATATTTTAAAACAGTTTATGAGGTAATTGATGTCTACAAAATTACAATTTTTAGAATAAAAAGAATGTGTTTATGGGACGTGTGATAGCTTTATAAAAGTTGGTTCTGACAAATGCATGTGTTCTCTATAATAATGATAACCTAATGCCTAAATAATGCACTGATCTCTAATAATAGGCTTACAAAGAATACTTTTATTTTTGAATGATGTATTGACAATGCAGTTTGTCTCAAGTTGAAGTGCATATTTGTGGAACAGCAGATGTACATTTTCAAAAGACTTGCAAAACAAAGACCAGCTTTTTTTTTTTTTTTTTTTTCTTTTCTGCTTTTTGGAAAGTGAATGTGGACGCAGACTTCATCATTAGGAGGAAATGAATGATTGATATCTAATAATCAAAACCATTTGTAGTACTGGAGATTGTTACCTCCTACTAAACAGGCCTTAAATCTCTGTCTCTTTGATCATTCCCTCTGAACAGACCCATATTCCTGGTGCCTGTCCAGCGATATCAGGAATTCATCAACACTCTACAGTTTCAGGTTACGGACTACTGCGTCAGAGTTTGTGCTACAAGCATTTTACAGGATGCTGAGAGCCACCACTGGGATGACTACAAAGCTTTTTATGAGGTGTGAAGTTAAGTTTACTATCCCTCCTTTTTACACAAATATGTTTTACTGCCTACCTGTTTTCTGGCTAATTAGAAACATGAGGTTGGCATTACTAACACACGAAGGCTGTTAGAATAATATTTTTTAAATATTGAATTTGTACTTAGGAAAAACAGTATTTCTAAAAACCTGAAATAAGACATCAGAACACTCCTTCTGCTTAAAAAATAAAAATAGCTTAATTTGAGCTGCAGTGTTTGACTGCTACATAATAAGTTGGAATATAATGAAAACTCAAAGAGATTACAATGTCCAAATGCCACAATCCTGCATTTTTTCCCCAAAGGGACCAGTTATAGATATCTTTGCATTTTTTTTCTTATTATGTATTTCCATTTGTGTTTGATGAATATTTTTTATTAAGCAGCTTTATTCTTTGTACCTATTTTTTTCTTCTTAAAGTATGTTTCTATGGGTGTATTTTAAGACCCATCATTTATAGCTTACTTATTTTCACAGAGCCCATGTTTCGAAGCCCCGAATTTCTACTTAATTCCTTCTGATGATTCCCAGTATGACCAAACCCAAGATCAATTAAAATTATTCATCATCAGGCTTCATTCGCTTCCCATCCCCTAAATCCTACTGATTATACATAAGCCACAATATTTGAAATTTTGTGAAGTTAATTCCAGGGCAGGGTGAAACATTGATATCTTAATAAAATATAAGCTAATCAAGGTCTATAAAAACTTCATCAGTCAAGCCCAGCTTCATTAGCTTTTCGCACTTACCCTTTCCTCCGGATGGAAGCTTATGGTTTTTGTTTTGCCTGATGGTTCTAATCACTATGGAGTATTGAGAAAAGCAGATTGGAGCTTTATTCAGTGAAGTCACTCTTGTCACCTGCCTGATGCTGAAGGTTCCTGCGGCTCCATTTGTGCTTGAGCTATTATCGTCATAAATGTGGCCACAACAGAGAAGAGCAACTAATAAGAAGCTCTTTTAAGGGACTTTCCACTTTTTCTAAAGCCATTTCATCTCTCCTTTAGAGGCCCTTCCCAGATAGTTTTTCTTTTTGCACGAGTATCCATACAGCGTTTTTGAAACTTGACATACTTCAAACAGCAGTGAGCAGAATGGAAACGAGAAAGTGCTATGGTGCAGCTGGTAGCCTGAGATAAGAGTGAAAGTATTGGTCTTCTCTCCTGGCAGCATCGCAGGTTTCTTATTTGCCTTGAGGTAAACAGAGAGGTTGAAAATGAATCCATCTCATGTTTTCAACTATTTCAATATGTCAGTGTACTAATGAGCAATTTCATATGATGTTTTCATTGAAAAACAGGTATCATCTCACTCTATGTCCAACATAGAGGTATTATGTTTCCTCTTATGCAAATTGGGAGCTAGAAGAGTTGTACAGTATAAATAATAAGTGAATATATTGCGAACCTGTTATTGAAGTTACCAACTATTTAAAAAAAACAAAAAACAAAAATTACCATGTAACATGCAGCTCTTAGATCTTATGACAATGCTTTAGTTTCACAGATAGAAATAACAAGATAGTTACCCTGTGATTACATGGTACTGTAGCTTCCATATACTTACATGGTCAGTAGTTACAATTTAATTGCAGTTAGTGGTTACTATTTCTGCTCAGAAATATAAAGTGATACTGCTTCTCTATTTACCACAAATAAGAACCTTCGAAAAATAGCACAGGTTTTAAACTGTTTTGACAACTATAGTACCTGACATGGCTTTATCTGGTTTACTGCACCCCTTTCTCCTCCTCTCCCCATTATTCCAACTGATTTGTGAAACAGGACTAGTTTTTTGGCAGGCTGCTTTGAGAGAAAAGGAGATGAAATCTGCCAGGCTGGAGGCGAAGAGCAGGATAAAGATCGCAGGGGAGCCTATTCCCATGTGCAAGAGTGTAGTAAACGAATAGTGAAATAATTTACAAGATATGGAGCAATATTTGCTCATGTTTTGTGATATCAAGTGAGCTTCAGACACATCATTTCCATTTTCTAAACTGTCAAGTTGAGAGAGTCAAAAGAGTTGGGTATCTCTCTGATGAGGTGCTGGTTAGATGGCACAGAGGGTGTTCAGATCACATGGCTGAAATTGAGCATTTAGTACAGTTGACATCTGCTCAACTTCAGCAACTTGTGTTTTCCAACAGTCAAAGAATAAAGAATTGTCTGTTCAAAGATAATATGGAGTGGCTTGTATAATAAAGCCCAGCTGCTTGTTTCCCGATATATAATCTAAATAAAAGCTCACATCTGTTTACATTATAGTGGGCCTACAAAAATAACAGATGTTTACTAGCAGAAGTCTTTTGAAATGACAACAAATAGAGAAACAGGTCAGAAAAATAAATGAGTCAGATTTAGTTTAATGAAAACTCTTTTGTATATTGATGTTATACACATTTTGAAGAGAATTGTGAGAATGATGACCGGTTTGGAATGTCTACTTGAAATTTATGCTTTAAAAAGTCTTAAAAATACGTATTTTTCACTTTTAGGAGAAGAAGTCTATGTACCTGAAGTTATTTTTATTTTCTCACTGTTGCTTAAAGGTAGCTTTTAAGGAAATGTTTTTATATTTTGAAAAATATAAGAAATCATGTTGACCACATTATTATAAGCACCTATCTTTTGCCGTGGGAAAGATTAGTGTAAAGTATTCACATCAGACGTTACATCAGTTTTGCTTTAACTAACATACTACACCAAAAGTATAAGAAAATCTAGCTTTAAAACTTCTTTTATACTTTAGAGAATTTAAAAAGCATTTTTTATCGCAGAACACAAAGAAGCATAAGGAACTATAATTTTGTTACTTCTGCATTAATTTTGTAATTTTTTCCTTAAATAGTTTTGATACACATCTAGTCAGAAAGTCAGAAACCAGTGGTCAAAGTCCCCTCCAGTTTGAACTTGACCCTTTGACAGCTGAAGCCTGTTGTTTCCCACCCAAGGATAACAATTCTACTCATTTATAAACTCCATTTGAAAGTCAATAGATAGTAACTATAAATTGTTATTATGCAGTGATTATAAAAGAATTGAGTAATCAAAGAAACTACCAGAAGAGTAATATGTAAGGAAAACACTAATACTAGCATATGCAGAAGAAACTGTCCTCTTTGTTCTAAATCTAAGAGAACTGAATTCTTTAGATGACATTTGTTTGAGAAATATAAGTAGTGGATAAAAAAGAAATGTTAAGTCAAAGGATTGCTAAGAGATAAAATGGGACATTTTACTAGTTTAACTTTTGATATAGTAACATAATCATGGTAATGTTTGAAGAATGCATTCTACTCTTATAGTTCAAATAATCTTTTGATCTGGTTTGAAGAAAACGAGGTCAAACTACTAGCGAACCTCCCTAAGAGCAAGTTAACTAATTAATGCTTGTAAATCACTTGAGGCTATCTTCTCATTTCTGTTCCCCTTGGCCTTGGCCACTGTTGGGTCTCCCTCTGTGGTCAGGGAAAATTTGGCACACAGAAGAGATCCATGAGGGGGTGGAAGGGAATGAGACTCTGGCCCCTTGGAGGTACACAGTGATATAAAAATACTAAGAAATAATGAGATCTGCCCAGGCTTTACAAAAATAAAATCTTGTAAAATCAAACTATTGTAGTATCTGTTTCTAGTATCATTATTAAAACACCATGGATAAAAGAGCCTAATGTAATGCTCTTCAATAGTTACCCATCCTCTTGGTTTTATGCATGTTGATGGGTATACAGTACATAGGTTAATTTTTGCTCCCGTCATTTTATTATAAAGTGAAATCTGAAACATTTGTAAAATTATCTCAATTATGCTAATACTTAATTTAAATAATTACATTTTAATTTTAGAAGTATCAGCCCACTATCCTGAACATGCATGACATGTTTAGCAACTATAAAGCTGATTGTTTAAAAGTAAATTTTAAACTGCAGGCCAGGAGTAGGTAAACCAAGGATATGCTAGGTGATATGCTTACAGTCTGGATTTTCATTAGAATATCTAGTCTTGTGATTGAAATAAAACATATGTTCCTTTGTCAGTAAGGATGTTTTACATCTTGTCAAAAATCTTTCTTGGTCATCTAGTTGTCAAACTCTCCAGCTATTTCCTTTCAGCCTGAACTAATTAGGTTCATAGGAAGCAAACTGACATTTTGGAAGATGTAATTCTATTGTTCAATGTGTGGTGGTTTTGCCAGGGGGAAAGATGCTCCTTCTCACTCCAGATGTGGCATTATTTCTCCTGGGCTCTTCATCATGATCTCTGGACCATTCTGCCCCCCACGCTAGCCCAGAAGATTCTAGCAGAAGTTCTGGAGAAATCTTTGGGTCTACTGGCCTCCAGATATGCTTGGGCCCATCCCACTTATAAGAGAGTTCCGCAAATAAGGTAACTGACATTAAGAAAACCATTGCCTCTCAAGAAAACTTTTTCATCATTTAATATAAAGCAGAATGTAATTCTGAATCTCATGACATGACTCCTGTGTACTTAACATGTTTCTAATACCTGAAAGGAAATCGTATTCAATTTTCTCGAGATATTTAAGTGGAAATGTAGAACTTGAATCAAATAATTTTGCTCTTTTTTTCCCCTTAAAATTGTGTGTAGAACACACTTGTTTCTAAAAAATGATTTAAGATGTATCTAGGATATATATATATATCCTTATTTTGTAACCTTTATATAGATGAAGGCTAATAGAGAAGGAGAAAGTTAAGGTGTTTCTCCATTTAGATGGAGAAAAACAGCAGTGCTGGGATAGAGCGATTTGACCGAGATTCTAAGCAACCTGGGGATTTTCGTTTCTTAAAAAACTTTTTTAAAGCCTTTAAGTAGTGTGCTTAATTTTCATTAAGGAAACTTCTTTGTCCAGTCATTTTTCTCCTTTGTATATTCTAATTACTTCTTTCCTCTTTGCCTTTATGTTTTTCTTTTCATTATGTATTACTGAAAGCCAGTACAACAAAATGTGAAATCACAGTAAATAGGAGACACAGGCACTGGCTATTAAATGAAAGATCGAATTGTCAATTCTATGAGTTATCTAGGAAATGAATATTACAAAAAAGTGTGCTTACATGGCATCAATAGTCTATATGAGGAGAAGGCTTTATTTTATAAATATTCTGGCTAATGTGATAAAAACTTGCTTTTTTAATATACGTAAAAGTATAAATAGACATATTTTAAGAGAAACCTACAGACCCCAGAGGCTTTTTTTTTTTTGGCCGTAGGAATCATTTCCTGATCATGTTCTTTTAAAGCAGGCTGCATTTGAAGGGCATTTAGGTCCTGCTACAGTGTTTCATAAATATGGTATTTTGCACAGGCTGTTTTGAATTACTGACCAAGCTTTTTTTAAAAATGAACTCTGAAGAATAGATGGAAAATTCCTTTTGAAAGCAAAGAATACCTCATTCTTTTTCCTTCTGTAGAGTAAATCATTTTTGACTATGAGGTGGCAAGTCTTTATGAGATGTTTATGAAATCAGTTATACTATTAGCTCATGAAATAGGTAGTATATTTAATTAAATAACTGTGCTAGGGAGACTTTTGGGTATTATTTTCTGGGTGGTTACATAATAATGCCATGCAATTCTAGAGTTATTTCTTCTGGTTCTTCTACATAAATAAATAAATAAATGTAAATATCCTAAACTACCATTCATGTGGAAATCAGATGTGTCTTTGTGTGTGTGTGTACATATATTTTAGATTTATAACTGTTTAATCAGCAATTAGAGTAAGTGAATGCAAACTACAACTAACCCTTCCTAAAGGTGATTGTTGATGCTTTTAGTGTTCCAGTAGCCACCAGCTGTCAAATACCACAACTGTATATATGACTTATATATGTGATATATTATTAATACATGTGTAAATTTATTGTATATATAATAAAACTGAAGCCAAAACATTATTTTTAGAGATCCTTATTTTTCTTTATCACGTCAAAATTTCCATCTTCTATTTCAACACTAAATTTAAAAGGGGAAAAAGGAAAAAGAATTGAGGTCTGTAAAATTTAATAATATACCAAAATAATCTTCAAATAGATCTTTGCATCCTTATAAAAATTAAACAAAGATAGAAACAAAGAAGTTAATTTATGAATAAGATAAATAATATAGCATATTTTCAAAAATTTATTTATTATTAGAAATTTCTAACACTATACACTTCTACATTAGTGCTTCTGGTGTCATTTTTCTCCTCTCCCACTTGCTTGGCAAACATGTGACCCACTTTTGTAACTTTCTTTTGACAGTTTGTACTTGGATGAGAATTACTCTGCTCTCAGATTTTTACTTATTATATTTGTGGATAACAGCAAATTTTCTTTTGATCTGGCTTTTCTTTTATTGAATGTAATTTCAAAGAAAGTCATTGAACTTCTTAAATAGTATCCTGATAATGCAAAATAAAAATATATTTGTTTAAAAAGCACTCCTGAAACTCTTCACTGTTACAGACCTCACATCCCTAAAGATAATGGTATTATAGAAACTCAAAACCTAGTTTTGATGCTTTCTGTCTTTGATCTCTGAAGCTCTGTTATCTAACCAAATATTTATATTCTTACATATGTTGAATACAAGAAATGTTGCTGATAGTTTATTTACCAAGTAGAAAAGCAATTTTGCTTAACATAATTTTCTTCTTTTTCTTTCTAATAGACTTGATATCACAACAATTTTAATATGCACTGAGAACATGTTATGGTCAATTTGCACATCTGTGCAGAAACTTTTGAATCCTCATGAGTATATAGATGATAAAATTTTTAAAATTCATACCCATTGTAATAATCTGCTGACAACATTAGTCATTTTGACTTCACCATTAACTGAATTATTTCAGTAAGTATCATATATTTTCTTTTTAGCTATTATGATATATAAAATAGTGTTATTTAACAAAGTTATTTTCACACTATTTACTGAATTGTGTAAAGTAGGAATTAGAAATTTTTTGAAGTGTATTTTTGATATTGTGAATTGGGCCATCTTACAAAACTAACACTAACCAACAGGAGTTTCTTCATCCTCAAAACAATTTAGTCCTCATACTGTGTTATATCTCTACTGGTCAATTCTATTCAGTTGATAAGCCTCCAATACAGTCAGGACCATTTTAAGCTTCACTCTTTGAATTATTTAAATGATCAAATTATATTAATTGGTTGGTTATTTCAGTCATATCTTGAAACTCTATGAAAAATAAAACCATATTTAACGGCCTTTTGTTTTTTAATTTTTTTTAGTTTTTAATTTTATGTAAAGTGATTTGCTCTAATAAAAAACTGAAATTGAAAAATGGTTTTAGAATATGCCCAAATCTAGAAGAGACTGAATGGTTCCTCTCTGTCAGTCAGTCTGCTTTGCCTTGGCAGTAGTGGGCTTCAGCGTCTGAGCTTGTAATGGCGGCGGAAGCAGGACTAAGCAATTACATTTTTGAAGTGTTGATGTCGTTTACCAAGCTGAATAAGATTTTGGGAAATTAGAAATGTTGAACTACTTTTCTGGTTTATTTGATTGAAATTTGTAATATAGAAAAGGTTGGAGTAGATCTTATAATAAAATAGTCATATTAATTTTGTTTAAATCCTCTTCCAAAATAGTCACTTTATCTTGAAAGTCTAGATAATTGCATATTCTTATTTCTCAGATAGTAAAAATTAGACATACAGTATTTCTGTTTCTTAGAATATCTAACTAGATAAAGTACTCCTTTCTTAACACTCTGGTAAGGGCAATATGTGAATATTGATTTTTTGGAAAATTTTGAGGTTTTTGTGTTAGAAATTCTGAGTAATTAACACCTTTTATTCACATTTCCCCATAATTTTCACCCACTTTTTGACTTTCAACTAACCCATTGTTTACAGATTGTTCCTCTGGCAACCCTATCTTAAAAACTAATTTTAGAAGTGGAGAATTCTTTCAGAAAGGAGGAGAAACAGTGAGATAAATTGCTAGTATTGTGGGATTAAATAAGTAATGGTTCATAATCATAAAAAGTTCAAGGTCTGAAGTGCATAATAAATCCTAGTAAACTAAACTGATTTACCATAGATGAAAAAATTGTTGTGTTCTTAGCTCAATGGGTCATTTCATCTAAGGGTAAGGCCCTGTGAAAATCAGGAACAAAGTTGACAAATTTCATGGATTGGTCATGGTGAGCAATATTGAATTTCATGGTTAGTCACAGATGAATAGAAAAATTTTAATCCCCAATGCATTTGTAAAACAAATAAATTATTATCAAAGATTGCATATTTTAATAATAATAATGTAATATACATTCATTACTGTTAACCTATGGCCTTTTAATACATTTTTAAACAACTATGCAAGTACTCATATCTCTGTGATTTGTACATTAGATATTGCACTATAACCTCATTCAACAAATTTAAATTGCTAATTTCAACCAGGATTATGAACATTTTATAGCATGCACTGCCTCTGGTTTCTCTTAATATAAAACAGATAGCTATATTGCTTTGAAGCATGAACAAAAATCTAGATATACTTCAATTCTTTTTTTAATAATTCTCACTTTATAAACATGTTCTCAAACTTTATACATTTATGTTGATTTATATTTTATGATTGCTGTCCAAGAGTATAAATCTAATTGTTGAAATATATTTTGCTTTGTCTTGGCAAAAAAATCTACAGGGTAGCATGTTCTCACCAATTAGAAGAAAATGTACATGCATTGCAAGAACCCTATTGATTTATTTAGCTTCCTTTCATAGATGGGATATGAAGTTGTCATATTAGTATTTTAGAAAAAAAAGTATTTCTATCTCACATTTAAAAATTAAACTATGCTTTGAGGAACTGGTGAAAAGTAACAATCAGATGTTGGTCGTGATAATTTTTTTATAAACTAGACCTAACCTTTGTCACTCCATGTGATATGCCTTGTTAGAAGATGACTGCCTTTATTCCGAGTAGTCTGACAGATAAACTGAATGTATTTTTCTTTCTGAGCTTAGCGTAGGGCCACTAAATCCCAGGGCAGGAATACATGATTTAACATTTTTTTTCAGGAAGAATGAAACCTGTTTGCAAAAATGTGTGTTCCTTTAAACTCTCCTTTGCAGATTTCTTTTAGAATGCTGTAAGAGGAGTACTTTAGGTTTGCCCTGCGGGGAAAGAGACCTGCTGAAATGCAAAGTATTCACCAAGTATTTTCCAAAGTGTTTATCACTTAGAGTTCTTTCGTAAAGGCCTTAAACTGCACGTTCAGAAGTACAGTCAATGCGCGTTCTCTCACCCACACCCAGACAGTGGCTTCATACTACATTTCACTCGCATCACTCACATAGAATGTTAGTTTTAGTTTGTATGTAACAAATTAAAAAATAATTGTTAGAATTTTAGAATTTAGTTTCAATTCAACAAATGTTGCCCCCCTCACCCCTGTGATTAAGCACAAGGGATACAATACTGAGCAAGAGGAAATATCTGTCCTTAATAATTTAGGAAAGTTGGATAAAATAAAAATGTTTTGATGTGTCATATAAAAACTCCTAAAAGTGGAAACATTTTGAAAGGTGACTGTCCCCAATGTTTTAACATTTAATAGCATGAAAGAATATACAACATACCAGACGAAGGCTGAAGTCATCAGAAATTGGTCATAATATAGATCATTCAGCCAAGAACAGCAGACCTATCTGGGGCTTCATGTGATGTCACTCATATGGCTTTTTTTTTTTTTAAACTGTTGATTTATTTTTATTTTTAAAGTGATATATACTCATTGTGAGTGGTTAGGGAAGGGAGAAATTAAAAACTTCTTGGAAACCAATGAAAATGAACACACAACAACACAAAATCTATGGGATGCAGCGAAAGCAGTTCTGAGAGGGAAGTTCATAGCACTACAGGTCTACCTCAAAATCATATGGCTTTTGAATTACTAAATTCCAAGGTATTTCAATGTTGTGTCTCTAGTTTCAAATTCACGCCTTTGAGGTTATGGTCTTCTTAGCACTGTTATTTATTTTAAAAATGATTTCACTGTCCCTCACAAAACAGAATGTATTGGTCTAAAACTTTGTTTTCTATACCTCCAGAATGTCTGGCACACTTTGGAAAGCAGTTAGATAGTTACTCAAAATGGGAAGCATAGCAAATGTATAAGTAAAGTGTTGAGTATATGGTCATATGACCCAGCAATTTTCACTTTAGATTTATACCCCAAAGAAATGAAAACATATGTCCACACAAAGATTTGTACACAAATGTTCATAGCATCATTCTTCATAATAGCACAAAGTACAGAGAACCCAAATGTCCATCAACTGATGAATGGATAAACAAAATGTGGCATATCCATGCAGTAGAATATTATTCAGCAATAAAAAGAAATAGAATACGGATAGATACTACAATATGAGTGAACCTCAAAAACGTGTTCAGTGAAAAAATAAAGACACCTAAGAGCAATTTGTATAGTTACATTTACTAAAAATGTCCAGAATAGGCAAATCCATAGAAACAGAAAGTAGATTAGTGGTTGCCCAGGGGAGAAAGGAAGAATGGTTAGTACCTGCTAATGGGTACAGGATTTCTTTTGAGGCTAATGAAAATGTTCTAAAATTAGATAGAGGTGAAGGTTACATACCTCTTAATATATTAGACTCCATTTAGTTGTACACTTAAGATGGGTAAAATTTTTAGTATGTCAATTATATTCTCAATAAACTGTTAAAAATAAATAGAGACTGAAAAATAAAGAATATTTAAAATGTTGAAAAAACAAGAAGAAGAAGAAGAAATGGTGTCTGACAGAATGCAAAATAATCTGGAAAGTGAAGTTTCTTGTCTTTGCCATTTTGTTTAGATTAAGTGATTCCCTTTATTCCCCTTCTCTCTAAACATCATTTTAAAGGGAATATTTCTATTTTAAAAACAACAACAATGAAATCAAACAGCGTTATGTGTGGTCCTAATAGAGTAAAAAAAGACACTGGTAAAGGCTGGTAAATAACTTTTGAGAAGGCCTGTTCCTGAATCTTTGACTAGCTGGTTTCTGCTCTGTTCTCAGGGGTGAATTCTTCTTCTATCCCTCCACCGTATGTTCTGTTCTCAACCTGCCCCTTGGTTGTGTACCACCCAAAATTGCTCTTCACCCATGGCCCCCAAATTTATCCTCCTTTCTGCAAAGCAGGGTCTGACAATACCTTTTATTCATACTTATTTTTTTAACTTAACGGGTATTTACTGTGGTTGACCTTTACTATGGTAGACTATAGACCAAACATTGTGCTAGTCATTTTCTAACTTTAAATCATTTTTCTAACCTCAGAGAGTTACTTACATTATGAGAAACAGAAGCCAGGGCAGGGGGCAGAGAAATGTGGAGACCAGTATTTTACTTCAAGTATACCTTGACTTCTCCCACTTAATGAAATGTAAGCAACTACTTATATAGTTCCGGGGTAACACTGGTCTACAAAAGCAGAGCAGTGACTTAATATTATGTCTGAAATGGTAAAATGGATTGAATTTGGTTATCTCTACATATTCATGATTAGTTGTCTGTAATTTTAAGGCAGTCAGAAAGGCTCACATGTCCTCAGGCATCTCAAGCATTCCAGGGCTTTCTCAGTAGCTCAGTTTCAAACTAATTCTACTTCTTGGTATTTTTATTTACGGAGCACCTCTAATGGCTCAGACGCTATGGTAAGCACAGATGATACAAGACATCTGACCTGACCCTTGGGCTGCCTTGTTTCCATCTTGGAGGTTTATTTCATTAGCATCATATACTGAGACACAATTCTCCTGGGAGGGCAGCCAAAAGCAGGGTGACATAAGAGAAGCATAAAACCCAGCCAGCTCTTTAGCTTATCACTTGTTCTCACTTTCTATGTGCATTGGATTTATTTCATTCTAGCAGCTGGCTACATAAGCCCAAGGAATCAATCAGATTTGTTAATGCAAAAAGGAAGGAGGATAGCATAATTGTAGATCAGAGAAGCAAGAGACTAAATCTGGGATAGAGTGCTCAAGTGGTGTGATGTGATGAGCCCAGAGGCAGCTTGGTATTAATAAGAGGCAAGGGCATGGGCTAGTTGACGTTGGAAGAGGGGCAAAGGCAAGGATTTTCCCATATTCATTCTTCTCCCTTAACAAAGCCCTCTTTACATTATGCTAAATTGGGAAGATGAATAAATGTATTCTGCTTCAACCAATAGACAATTACTTATTTTTAAAGGACTATTTAAATTTGCTATATCAAAATTCTTTTATGTCTGGTGGAAAATATAATTCTGTGGCTCATAAAATTGTATTTTACTCTCCACTATGAATTATTTAGAGCATCCTCTCTTTTAACTGCATACCAAAATATCATTAGAGGTTATCTAATAGCTAGTTCATCATTTCATTCCCCCATTGAGGCTTGTGGGCCAATTTTCACCCTGTTATACTCTCCAGAATAATGAAACTAATTTGGGATCTTGCTGAGGAATTAAATGCTCATACAGATCCCACCCCTCTGAGACCATAAACATCTGCCATAACATTTCTTATAGCCAAATAACCTTACTATTACCAGTACGACTGAGAAACTATCACTGGAGTAAAGGAGGTTAGGTACTGGCAGAAATGTTTTGGGAAGCATTGTATTGCCAGGAGTTTATATTCTAAAAAAATTTGGCACCAATAACCACTCCATTATTATTAGATCCTCCATTATTTTTTCTAATCTTGAGGATAAAACTGTAACTAGGCAACTGCAGGCATTTAGGAACTTCATGTCATTTCTATAATGGTCACAGACCTTAAGGGGTATTTACAATTGTTACCATACCGATAGTACCTTACATATGTTGAATACTTGTTACATACAAGGTACTTTGCTAAGTCCTTTAAATGCATTATCTCAATCATCACACTGAGCCTGGGAGATGATTATTATTATCCCCATTTTGCAAATGAGAAAACTGAAGCTGAATAAATTGAAAAACATTACATATCTAATAAAAAGCACACTCAAGATATAAACCCGGGCTGTCTGGCTCCAGAGTTCCTGCATGTGCCCACGTACTGCCTCTAAAGGATCTTCGATGGCCAGCTGAACACGACAGAGAGCATTCTAACGGTGTTTATTCTGAGAGAAGTGAGGTAGCTCCCAGGTAACTGGGCACATGGGAATTTATGCAAAGGGCTCAAAGAGGTAGGCAGAAAAGTAGGCAGAGGCTATGATCCCTCAGTCTCCGGTTCCTCCTGCTCTCTCATCAAGCCCCATTTCTTGTCCCTTTCTTTTCCCTGGTCTGTCACTTCCTTTGAGATTACCATTCTTTCCAGACCCCTTGCTGCGTCTCCTATTATACCAGAATCCTCTTCTTCCGAACCCCCTTTCGATTGCATGTTCATCTGCACCCTCTCTGTCTTAGCCTCTCTACCCAGACTCTGGAACCCTGCTGGTGAAAAGCATTCAGCTGTCCTTTGATAACTTTTGACAATCTCACTTTGTCCAATCTCTGAGTAGCTTCCTTTTCCATCCTCTACTTTGGCCAAGACCCCCACCCCCAACCCCCAATCCCACTATTTGTTAGCAGATGGCCTTGCCCCTGTACTTCTCTGAGAAAACCCAGACCATCAAGAATGCACTTTAACTTCTCATCTCATTCTTAATAATTATCTTGATCCCTAGTCACTTCTATATCCTTTGATAGGTGATCAATATATCTCTTCCCAGTCAAAGTCTTTTCACCTGAGCTCTTGACATTTACATCCTACTCCACAATGTTAGAACATTCTTTCTATCTTCTGGTTCTTCTACTCCCAGCTTCTCCTGTATTAAAATGTATCCCTTCTTTACTACTGTTTTTCCCTCCAAAAACAGTTTGGTTCATTGTCTCTGCTCTGACACCTACCATTCACTCAATACATTCATCATTTAGACTTTTAATATAATTGCATCCCTGCAATTGCCCTCATGTTGCTAAACAAACAACATGCGCCAAGTCATCCATGCACACCCGATCCCTAACTCCAATGTTTGTTTCTTCATTTCCTTACACTCGCTCTCTGCAGCTTTTGCCACTATTAGTCATTTGTCTTCCTTCGGCTTCCCTAACATCACTGTCTCCTGGCTCTTTGCCTGTTTCTCTGATTATTTCTTCTCAGTTTCAGTGCTGCTTTTTCCCACCTCACCCTTAAATATTGATGTGTTCTGGAGCACTTTTATTGACCATCTTTTCATTTCACACTCTTTCTTTTGTTGAATTCACCCATTCATATGGCTTCACCATCATGCTAATGACTTCATCAGTATTTTCAACCCAGATGTCTCTTGTATATGCTAGATTAATAAATCCAAATTCTTATTGTATGACTCTTTTTGAACATACTTCTACTCTCTGCAGCTCCCTCAACATATCTAAAACTTAAGTAAAATACCTGCAAGTCATTTTACATGCCTTCTTTTCCCTTAACTCTCCTCCCTTCTGCTCTCCCCTCATGCCATCTCCAACCACATGTCATTAAGGGATGACTATTTTAATCCAATTAATTCCATTTGTCGTGACATTTGTCTCCTATTTGCTATCTCCTCTGTTTTTATCTTATAACCTTGTCCTCTTCTGCCTAGTCTACCACAATATCATCTTTATTATCTCCCTCCAGCCTTGATCCTCTCCAGTCTTTTCTCCTCAGTAATACTCAACTGATTTTTCTAAAAAGTGAAATTGGTGGTATCACTCCCGTGCTATAAACTCTTCAGTGAATCTTCATTGCTGGTACAAAGTCCAGACTCCCTAGAAAACATGTCCTGGTATCCTGACCCAGCTTCCACTTACCTCTCTAGTTCACACAGTGGAATGCAGGAAGTGGATATATAACCACCTGATTTTGAAACTTATTTAAGAAATTTTATTCTATACTGAAAATTAGTGAGAAAAAAAAATGGCTTTCAAGGAGGAGATGATATATTAAAAGTCTAAAAATATCTGTGTATATTTCATTAGAAGGTATTTTACTTGGAAAGACAAATAAGAGAGAGGTCAAATTTAGAAAATGCAAGGATACAAAAAGCAGGATGTGAAATGAAAAAACAGGTCTTCAAAATGGAGTTCTGTTCCATATGTTATCTAAAAGATGCTGTTGCTCCTAAACTTTATATAAAGAGAAGTAGTACCACTTCAAACAATTCCATTTCTAAAATGGTCCCATTGTCACTCTTAACTCCATGTAGGCAAACACAGCCTCCTATTATTATAAAATTTTATTAACCAAGCTAACTACTAAATATTTTATATAACAGATTCTTTCTTATTACTTCAGGATTTATTGGTGAATTTGGGCCAATCTAAAAAAAAAATATTACAGTCAATTCTCCCAAGATAGTTGCAGACCAGATATTCTGGCCAAATTGTTCTAATTTTTAAATTATAGTCATATATTTTACAGTTAAATTCCTCTTTATTAGCTCTCTGTAGGCCTTTAGGAAAATACAAAATTAATTATAAATTATCATTTATAAATTGTTTAGTTTTTATAAACCACTTTAAAGAGTATAAAGAAGTACCTTTATGCTAAACATTTTTACATTAATGAAGCAGATGTGACAAAAGATGGACATTTATTGGATTCAGATCAAGGAGGGAGGGATAAGTGGGATTCATTGTCCTATTTTCTCTACACATTTATTTTTGACAAATTTTATAATGTGAGATTTTTAAAAAATTTTAAATGATAATGGTATTGTCATAACCTTCCCAAGGGTAAACATTGTTATTAACATAACATAAAGCCCAAGTGGATGACGTTGTGTGCATTGTCTATTCTAGGACAATACAAAAATCCATTACCTTTGAATACTAAGTAAAAATAAAAAGTGTCAGTGGTCTCAGTAGTTTCCTGTATATTCTGAAATAATGTTTCTGGTATATTCTGAAATAATGTTTCTGGTATATTCTGAAATAATTATTTTTATTTCCCTAGGACTTTTCAGCATGGCTTTGATGATTCTGCTTCAGATTCCTTAAAACCAGTTTTTAAACAACCATTACATTGGTTTTCCTGCATATCACATTTCTACTCTTCTTTACTCAGGTGAGAACCTCTAAATGTTATACTAGCTATAATTCTACAATTCCTTTTCAAGTTTAATAGAAATTTGTATCCATGGAGGTAAATGCATCTTACAAAAAGAACTTACCACTTTTTATAATACACAGGTAAGTAAAGAGTATTGTTTATATTTTTTTTAGCTCAAGAATCTGAGATATAGGCCTCATAATTATTCTACTAACTTATAGCTTCATTGATATAATAGAAAAATGTGAATTTTTGGAAATTAATTCTATATTAGCTAAATTGCCTAGTCATTTAAAAATGTATCCTTCTTGACCCATGACTGGGTAGTTGGCATTTCTCCAACTAATTATCAAAAGAGACAGCAAAACTGATTAATTCATGTAACTAACTCAAAGCCTTAGTAAAGGTAGAGAGAGGTGTAACTTTTAAAATTATAAATAGGGTACTTCACTTTTATTATTTAATTAACAGTATTAATTCTCACCCAAGTATATATTTTTTCCCATTGATTTTTAGAGAGAGTAGAAGGGGGCGGGGGTTGAGAGGAGAGAGAGAGACACACACACATCGACTTGTTGCCTCCCACACCCCAGATATGTGCTCTTGACTGAGAATCAAACCTGTGACACTGTAACCACTGAGCCACGCTGGCCAGGGATAATTAACATTATTTAAATATAAGAAAAATAATTTAAACTATGAAATGTACTTCCAGAGTAATATGATGACATTTTGTAGCATTATGTGGAACATCAGTTTGATTTTTTGCTAAATATGTCATTAGAAAATATCTTTCCTTGTCCTGACCAATTTGCCTCAGCAGTTGGAGCATCGGCCTGTGGACCAAAGAGTCTCGGGTTTGATTCCCCATCAAGGGCATGTACCTGGGTTATAGTTTGAACCCTGGCCATGGTCGAGGTCATGCGGGATACTACCAATGTGTCTCTCTCACATCGATGTTCTCTCTCACATCAGTGTTTCTCACTCTATCTAAAAAACTATCAATGAAAAAATATCCTTAGGCGAGGATTTAAAAAAAAGAATGCATCTTTCCTTGGTATTTGTGAGGAACTATATTATGCGTAGCTGAAGGAGATATTGTTAATCCCCATTCATTCATCTTGGAAATACACTATCAGTGATTTCACCATCTAAATTGGCTGACTGTGTCTCTCTCAAGGAACAAGACTCCTACCCATAAATAGAGGGTTGTGAGAACCTTATATACAAAGTCTCTATAGACATAGCAAACATATGATTTACCTGTTATGTGCCTATCCTCACATAAGTAATGGAGACTCCAAGATAAGACATAGACCATAGACTCTACCTTCAAAGACCCCAATGTATTGCTGTTACTTCACTTATATATAAATTTTTTGCAACATCTCTGATTAATTCCTATGGTTGATTTCTAGAAATGGAATACCCTCAATACTCTGTCCCCCTGCATATAAACATACACTTAAGTCATTGAGAATAAAATAGCTAACTCATTAATATTCATTATTGGAAAAATAACAAATGAAACAACTGGATCTTTTATAGTGTGAGTTTGTTCTTCATGTTATTTTCACTTTTGCTTTAATCAATTTGTGTTATCTGCCTTTATCTTAATCTGTAACCACTAGAGTTATTCCCCTTCAGGTATTGCTCTATAAGGTTTCCACCTCTAGGCTTGCTCTGTTCAGTCAGCATAGAAAAATGGGTTTCCTATCTTTCAAACAGCTACTTCTCATAATTAAGTTTTTTCTCTTTTCTATACCTAAAGGAAGAATAAATACATAAGATTTTTCTTTCTTTCAGCTCTGTGTAGCAACCAATCTCCAGTGTTATCCTAACAGAAAGTAGTAGAAATGCAATGATACAAGCTTTCTGGAGGGCATTTTAGTAAACTGTATCAAAAACCTTAAAAACATTTATGCCCCTTTATCCAGCAATTCAATTTCTAGGAACTGACCATAAAGAATTAATCAGAACTGTTGACAAAGTTTTATATGTAATGATGTTCATGAAAGCATTTTTTGTGAAAGAATAAAATGGAAATAAATGTCCCACACTATGGAATTAGACAAATCAATCATGGGATAGCCATACTACCGTGGTGTCATTGAAAAGATTGATATAAAATAAACAACAAATAATTGTGATTTATAGTTAAGGGGAAACGGCAGGTTAGTAATTGTGACATCATTAAAGTTGGCTCAGTTTTTAGAGTGAACTGCATACTAGACATGCCAAGTGCTTCATGTGTATTATCCCTTTCAAACCTCATGTACCCCTTTGTGGAAAATGAAGTAGTAAGAAGAGAACAAAACTGGGAGGCAGATTCTGAACCTCAGTTTGTCCCCTTTCAAAGTTCAAGTTCTTGACAACTGCACATCCATCCAGCTTTCAAAGGGAGAGCAGTTCAGGGTGATGTTGACAGGGGTGTGTGACACCTAAGATTGTTAGTTATCTATTACGTACAGTCTTTTTTATGGTTCAACTTTATGGGGTCTCTAATATACTAATGTACAGTGTTTGTTTCCAAGGGAGGCATCAGTATGCTGACTCCCCAAACTTGCAGGATGAGAGAGCCCGTTTCTCAGAGAATGAACAGTTATTGGAAGGTGGGATACAACTGAGAAGTATTGAGCCATACTACTATGCATTTAGCATTAAAAATGGATGTATAAAAACAAACACTGAAAGGATATATACTAGAGGGTTTATACTTTTTATCTTTGTATGTAGGATTGCAAAGTTTTTATCTGTGTAGTTCTCTATATTTTCCAAATTTCATATAACAAAATAATTTTATTTTATTAAGATAAAAACATTTTAAAAGTTAAAAAAAAATTATAGCTCATTTGTTCACATGGCTTACCCTATAATCTCCATGCAGATGATTTCTAGCTCTGCATTCTAGCCCTGAGCATTTACCTACACCATTATGTGTCCAGCTGCCCATAGTCCTTGAATGACCCACTGGATTACTAGAAACCCAATATGATGTCCTCAACTGATCCTTCCTTTCAGTCTTCCCATCTTCCACACACGGTGTCTTTTCTCTTAGGGGTATGATTGTTCTTCAACACTTCAAGGGCAGAATCTTGAGGATGGTTTCCATGTTGAGCTGTCCCTCTGCCTGTTCCCGGAGTGTCACTCTGTTCAGCTGATTCTTCCTCCAGAGTTCTCTTGGAACCATTCTTTCTCTGCAGCCCATTAAAACAACCTTAGTCCATTTTACTATTGCTTGGCATTTTTAAGATACTCTTTTCATTCAGTCATTCTCCTGCTCAAGAACCTAGAGTAGGTCCTGTTTCACCCACACTGCCTATTCCTGGTGTATTTCCTGGAGCGCACGATAGTTTTCTCTGCTCCAGCTGTCCGTCTCCTTGCTTGTCTTTGAGACGCAGTCCTTCCATACCTTTAATTTTTATTTGTTGGTTATTATCAGATCCAGGCACCTTATTTATGTAGTTTTTTTTCTTCGTCTGGAATGCCTTTGTCGTTCTAAACTCTCCATGCAAGGTACAGTATGAGCACCCACTATACTGTAATACTTTCTGACAATTGCTGTCTAACAAGTCTATATAATTTGCTTAGAAAACATGGTCCATATGATTTATGATTCAACATGTTCAGAGCAGTGATGTGACCTTAAAAATCTCCACCTTTCCATTCATCTCTCACATATATCAGCCGTTTCAGTGTGTCTTCCACCCCCAAATTATTCTTTGAAACTCCATTTTTCACCTTAGCAACTAAAATGAACTGTTCAGGAAAATACACGGGTCAGATGAAAACAAACCAAAAAATATATTGGGCTTTTCTCTTTGGAAAGGGGGAGGCTTAGAGGAGAGGTGACTAAATTATTTAATATTATGGAGAATCTCAGTAATTTATTCATCTATTTGCTCATTTATTTATAACTATGCATTGTTTTAGAAAGGGTGTTGGTCTGCTTTTAATAATTTTAAATATATTAAAATAATGAACTAGTGGTAGGTGAGGAGGAAAAAACAGAGCAAGGAGGAAGATATGAAAGTACAACTTAAAATAAGAGTTACAAATGCAAAACCAGTTATATGGGCCATAAATTTGTCTATAAGATTACTAGAAAAGACTATGAGGTATCAAATTGGTGAAAATAGAATTTTCATGTTCTCCTGGAACCCCTGGAATGGAGTTTAGAAGACTTTGCTTTAGGGAAAGTAAACGTATTTTCAAAGCACTAAGTAAAATGTTCTGTATTCATTGTCCCTAGCAATAGTGTAAGCTAACAACGTGAGTTGATTTAGAAAGAGTAATCAGTTTCATATTAGATTAAACTAAGGCATGTAGAGAATATACTAATCTCAAGGTTAATCCTATGACACCATACTATGCTTTCATGTAAATGTTTAAGTCAGAATACTATCTTAGTGAATTATACTGTGATACATTATAATACACTTTGTAATTTTCCAAACTTTCATCTTATTGCATATTTTAAAATATTTCCAAATATTTTCAGGTCTTCCTTAACTAAGTAGGTCATTACTGTATACTGAATCCAGTGAACATAATCAGTGTGATTAAACAGACCATTCATTTTACAGTGCTCATTTTCTTTTATGATGACAACATGATGTTTTGATTCGTGGACAGTCCTTTCTGAGCTATAGATATTTATTTCTACTTATGCTTTTGTTTCTATTACGCTTTTACTAAATATAATCCTGTTTTAGATTTATATACTTCCTTCCCTAAACATATTAAGCTAACTTTGACTTCGTTGTATTGTATGCTATGTAGATCTTTTCTTTTATTCAGTTCACCAAGTTGTGTTTATTTATTCTTTCAATAAACACATTGACTTTTTTTCTCCAGGTAAGAGAAAAGTTAGCCAGTGAAATTTGAGACAAGGTTCTGTTCCTTAAATAGTTACAATCATAGTGACCTCTGTAACACAGAATACCATTGTCCACTTCCTCTGCCTTGAGACACACTCTCCTGAGGTATTCTCCCAATTTTCTTCTTTCTTTTCT